AGGAGTGCACCTATTGGAACCCATTGGAACGGCCACTGTAGAAATTCATTTACAATGATACCCGAACAAACCTTTGAGAATTTCCAATCCTCAGCAAAGTTCACCACATTATTAATAGACACATGGGGTTTCACCTCCACCTTGACATTATTGTTGTCCACAATGATGTTCCGACTATTCACAGTTAATGACGAGTTGCGAGATAGTTGGCATGCAGGCTTTAAAGCTAAGCTACCACTGCTGCCACTTTCACTAACACTATCAATGTTGCTGTGACTACTTGGACTAGTATACAACCGTCCATCCGTTGACTGTAAACAAACATCAGCAGGACGCGCTAAGCTGCTATTATCTTCCGCTTCAGTATCATGATGCTCCGTAGAACTAGATACAGTAGCCCGCAGACATCCTGATTGCTCAGCAACATGAAGTTCTGTGTCACTATTTACACTTGTTGTCCTAGGATCAACTCTAGATCGTGTTAAATAATTTTTACTACGTGAAGGGTTCAGAACATAAGCTTCGTTCCGTATAGTCAAACCTGTTTTGTCTTTATTCATATTCACTGTACTCATCAACCTCTGTTTTCTGGAATCCAAATTATCATTCCTTGCATTTCGAGCAGTTAAGAAGCTTCTACCATCACACACCTTGGATCCGTCTTTATGCCTAAACTTTCTGCCTTTTTCCTTCTTTACCATCCTCAAAAAGGCCACCTTATCTGCTTCAGGTATCGACTTCTCACTAGGATACACATCAAGGGATTTTAAACCATCAAGGTTACATGCTCGGTCTTCAAGAGGATATACCTTTCTAATACAATTAACGACTCCCTTACGTTCCGGGTGTGAGGTAGGTGCAAACACATTTGAAGAATTCCCCTGTCTCGCACGCAGATGACTAGTCTCTTCCATATCGTTTTCCATGACCTTACATTCTAATTCGGCCATATCAACCTCCTCTTGAAGATCTAACATTTTAAACTGCCTTTCTAACTCAAGTCTCCTTTCCAAATTCTTCTTTTTTAGTAATGCCTTGTCTAACCTCAATCTACAAGTACTAAACTGAGCGGAGGACTTATTATTAACGCTAATATCATCACGTATATCATCATTAACATCAGAGATACCACAAACAGCTTTAGAATCTTTACCACCCATTTCGTCGATTTCCTTCGGCCTTTTGCTTCTGGTTTCCATTGTATGCCTTTGTTCGAAAATCGGTTACCAATCAAATGTGAATTAATCCAAACGAATTCGACCAATAATAACAAAATTTTGACCCGACATGTCCAGACGTATCCAATGTATAACAACAGAATTGAAATTGAAGAACTTTGGACCCAAAATGTCCACACGTATCCAATGTACGACAAAATAACCAAAATTGAAGAACTTTTTGTTGCGTCCAAGATTTGCTCCTTCATTTATTGAGGTACAATATGTCGATCTATACCTGGAAGAAGAACCTCTGGATTACTTTTCATTTAGTATTTTTAAACCGTATTGGAATACGATCGTTTGCTCCTTTCGGATTTCTCATTGCTGAAAATAATTGAAGAAGCTTTACCGGTGATATTTTATACTTGGTCTTCATTGTTTTCTTTCCGTTGAATAATAATTGATCATGAGTTCTCGTAAGAAAGCAAACACGAAGAGGGATGGAGTCCTTGAAAAATCGCGGAATATGAGGCAAGTCACTTATAAAACTTCATTTTTAAATGGTTCACTCTAATAAGGATGATATTATGCTTAGTACTTATTGTTGTAAATCATGATAAGGGGGTACTAAGGAACGAAGTTTGGACGAGTACTTAGAGGTATCTGGGAAGGGAGGCCTAGGACACTGGTAGTTGGATTAGAGTTGCCAAAGGTAGGACTCCCTTTCTTCGTCGGCAGACACCGCGATTACTTTAGGTTCGTCAAGCAATTCGAAACATTTATAGAACCGAGAGTTATTGATGACAATCTGCTCTTATTGTACTTAATCCACTATTGCAAGGGAAAGGCGAGAGCTGCGATTGAGGGATGTCTTATAATGTAACCCCACTTAGGATATAAAAGGGCTAAGGCGATTCTAAAGCAGCTTTTCGGACAATCGCACGTAATCGCTCTTGAAACTTCGAAAGACTTGTTTAGATCTGGGAATGCTGATTATAACGATCCAGAGCAATTGTCGAATTTGGCAATTGAGATGCAGAACGTAGCTCTGACTCTGGAACAATTAAATTGTACAGCGGAACTAAACTCCCTAGTAACTTTGGTCTTTTTAGGAATAGGAGTGGTGTCTTGCTTCCTCTGTGGTGTTTGCGTTGAGTAACCTGATGTATGGACACTGAGAGGCGCACTATCAACTGACTGTTTGGGTTTTTTAATAACCCGTTCGCAAGATATTGGGATTTTCGACACTATCGACCAAGGGGTTGATGCTTCCACAAGTTTCCCTGGGTGTTATAGTGTAATGTGTACTAGCGACCTTATTACTTGACATGATACCAGGGAGATTAGGAGGTGAATACCGAGATATTTAGAATACGAGATACACAAAAAAGGGATTTAGGAAAGAAGAAATTTAGTAGTATATAATAAAACTACAAGGAATAGAGCCTGAAAGTACTCCAAAATTGCAACTTTACCTTTGACTGTATTAGTAAGTAACTTTGCGTGTATCCAGTAAATTGTGCCTACTTCCTGTGTTTTTGAGTGAGTGGATGCTGCCGAAGCAACTGGAAAAAGAGCAGTTGAATGAGGCAGCTAGACCTACCGCACAATGGTTCTGACTTGGAATGGTTCCGTTTGCCCGAAAATGTTTTCATATTGTCAACCAATGAATGTAGACAACTTTCTATAGCTTCGGAGGTGATAAAGTATCCCGAAAGTGGATTGTTTCCCGTAAATGGAAGAGAGTCAGCGAGGACACGTCAGATTTGAAGCGCGCGCGATATTCTTCACTTTGCGATATCAACTGTTGCAATAAGTAATATTGAAGAGCTGCTATGCTTATTTTCTCTATTCTGTTTCGTTTTCCAGCTCCCAGTTATTAATTCTTGTTTTAGTAGATGATTGCATAAAGTAAACTCATCTAAATGAAATCGTGTTTAGATTCTCATTACCTCCATAGCTTCAACGAAGTTGGCCTAAGTATAATAAACTAAATTAAATAAAGAATTTATTTTTTTAGCATATTAAATCGTTCGTCTAGATTGAAGCCAGATAAGTGTCACTTAAATCCTGTATGAAATCAGGCTGTTTATGTCCATAGAAGTTTGTCGATAAGGAATAGCTTGGGTAACCTTCATAGAATATAGGGTACAGGATTTTTAATAGTGCCAAGATAAAAGTACCAAGATAATGGTTAGGTCGACATCACATGTTGAGGTTACCAGCTGAAGATTTTATTGTGGCATTTTTATGTTCACCTTGCCCGCCGATAAGCTCTCCATACTTAATTAGTTATGTGTCTTGTCTTTATTTTTGATGCAGAATTTACTGATACTAAACATTTATTGATCAGAAGCCAGCTTTGGCTAAACTCAATACAGTCATTTATCGAAAATTATATGACTATATGGAACAAACTTTTGACGCTTTATCAATCAAGTTAGAAAATAAGTAAAAGAGACTGAAATAATGATAGCATCAGAATCATAAAATACATTCACTGTTGGCGCATCACAGGAATGCTTATAGGCAGAAGAATATTGAAAAATAAGGATTTAGCTATTTAGAAACTAAATAAACACAACAAATTCAGATGTGGCAATCCTGAAGAGCTCCATCGTCCTAACAGTCATCCTACGGCAAAGTATTCATTGTACAATGTTATTAGAAGTAAGAACACTTATGAGATACATTTAGAGGCACTTATTTGACTCTGGGTTTGAATGCATCGGCAGTTTTTGGTTCGGTCTTTCAGTGATCTTGGGCTGTTGGTTAGCCATGATTTGAAGACGACGGCTCACTGCCATATGTTTGCAGCTGAGAGTTTGGAATCTTAGTACCTTAGGATGAATATTCAACAGGTGGCGTACTAGTAATGTCGGTGTATATTCATCGCCGAAATAATTATTCTATGGGTATTAAGCATTGATAGAGACCTCATTAACTTCAGTGGACACAGCCCAGCTGAATTTTCCTGGTCACGCTTCCATACCAGGTCACCATTGGGTACATTGCGTTACATATCTCATATCATTTTGACAGCCGAGATCTACTTATTGACTTCCCGATAATCATTCAGATATTCCTCCTTCACTCCAGAATTACGTTTTGAATGGGTTTCGTTACTGTCGATTATAAAGGTGTTACTGAAGAAACGACTGTCAAACTAAGAGTATCTATGACAGCTTCAGTATGTTCACTATACTGTACATAACATTAGTGAGATCCGATTTTTAAGCGGCATTTATGTAGCAGTTTTCCTGTTTAAAAACTGACTGGGATATTTTGAAAAATTACAGAGCGTATCTTCCTGTGAAGTTCTACAACTGTGAGGTTTACCGTAAACGAAGAGGCTTGAAATTTAGCTATTTATGTCCTACTCTAACACTGATTAAGAAGTGATCTGGTTCAGATACATATAATAATGATTGATCGGGACATATTGGGTAAGAAAAAATGCTGAAGAAGAAAAAAATACTTATGGCATACAAGTTTTTATCCAAAGTCATTAATTGTTGGAAACTATAAGTCAAGAAGTGATACAATGACCTTCGAATTACTCATTTAGGGGAAAAACTGACACAGTCAGACTCTCACTAGGGAGACATACCACCAACTACAATCGATCTGTTCTCAGTATACAAATCAGCATTTTTTGTGGATTGTACTTTGAACGCGTTTAAGCTAATAATATAGCGCTCGCTTCAACAATTTCGCAGGTGATGATTACTAATTTAAATGGATTTAGAGCACTTATATAACGCTAAAAAACAATGAAATTTTATTTTCTTTAAAATGACTAATTACATCAATGCAAAATAATATCGTGGATTTTGTATAATGGATTATGCTAATAGCAGTCTTGATCCTGAGGTCCTTGAATTCTATCGTCCAAATAGGTCAAAACATATTCGTTGTCATTCTCATCACCATGCACATCAGATTGTCCATTCAAGGCGCCTTCATAATTCACAGCCTATTAACCAGACACAATTGTCAATAACACCTTACAACAAAAATTCTAATTATGCAACTCCTAATATTCATCATGGAAACATGGCGAATTTTCAGGATTCACGAATACATCACCACCGACCTCAGCTTCAGCCACATGTTTCTCATAAACCAAATGCAGAACATTTTCACTACCATTTAAACCAGAATGCATTCAGATCCTCTGTGAGCCCTCAAAATCTGGGGAGTTCTTGTGGAGGTAGTATAAATGCACTATCATCAACTAGTGGTGTTAGTAGTAATTCTGGTAGTTTTTGTACCAGCAGCGGCTCTCATGCAAGTCACAAATCTGGTACTAGTCTCCGTGCAGTAGATCTTATTCCTTTGTTGAAAAAGAAAATTGCACTTCTACCTGGTGGTAGGTCAAGACGAGGGGGACCCTTATTATGCTTCCCGTCAAATTCACGAGCTGATGAAATCCCTATTGAAGACTTGTATGTTCTTGTGAGATACCTCACCTATCTACCTGACGACAAAGTTAAGCGTTTGGGGTTTGTGGTAATAATCGATATGCGAAGTGGCACAACTTGGCACAGTGTCAAACCGATTTTAAAAGTAAGTTCTTTAGGTATTCGATCTTTATCACGTTCTAGGTACTAGAGGAATGCCTGGGCCAAGATGTCACTTTGACATTTATAATTAAACCTGACAAGTTTCTTGAGAAACACAAAGCTCAACTGGCGAGTGGGAAATTCAGTTTTGAAATACAGTTAGTGTCTGTGGAGTCTTTATTTCGTGAAGTAGATCCTAGCCAATTAACTGCTGAAATGGAGGTCAGTTTTACATTTTCAAAATAATGTATACTATGCGGCATATCTCATTCCTTTTACTAATGTTTATCATATATTGTTGTGAATTTACTAGAGCTATCAGTTTACATATAACCATTTATCATATCCTAGGTTCAGGGTATCTATATAAACTTATGTTTAGAATGTAGCGTCATTGTTTTATACTCTTGACTTATCAATGTGATTGCTATTTCTTCTTGATATTGTTGAGAAGATAGTTGTTTTCATTGAACTGCCTTGTATTTCGATAATGACATATTAGGTTCCTTTCCCCATTTATTCTTTTCCCAGGTTACCTCGGTATACTGATTTTTATACTTACTGTTAACGTATAGTGTATACTAAGTTATTGAAGCACTTGATCTCCAACGATTAGGTTCTTTATCTCATCTAATTTTTTCTTGATAGACAGATAATATCAATAGCTTTTATCAGTGGAGCTTGGTTACTCCACCGCGTTCTGTATATGGTATTAGCTTGTTTTCCTAAAATTAATCTTGTTGTTACTTGAAAAACTTGTGGGAGCTGAAAAGTCAGCAGTCATCCAAAGGTATGCTTTGTTGATATTTTTATCTACATTAGTCATATACGTCAGCTTTTACAGGTTTACATCCTATGTTTCTCGAATCATATCTTCGAACCCTATTCTTCCACATTACTGCTAATACTGTAACTTTCGCTATTACCCTGGGATTTGGTACGACAATTTCATCTCTCTGTATTAATATGGTATAGTGACTTTAACTGTTGTACGTACGTACGAAGTTCTACTTTGTAGTTGACTGACTAAAATCATATTCTCTGTAAGCTCGACATACAAGAGTGATAGTGTAAGAAATTTCTAGTTTAGTGTTTTTGCCCTTGAAATATAACCCATAGGATTGCTTCACAGCAGTATTCTTGTTATGGAACTGACCATCTGTCAGAATCATTGGTCTTGTGATGCTAATCAGTCGCAGTGTATTCCCACCGGTGTTTCATTGCAGATGCTTTACTGAGTCTGATACATTCCTTTCAGTTAGTTTCATAGTCCAAATATGCAACAACGTTTTTCCCTAATCCTAAATTAGTCAGATTTTCCGTCAAACTGTTTGAATGGCATTATAACCATTAGGTGGTCGCCGGATACAACTACTTGGCATACTTTTAATCATAGTACTTCCGGGTAATAGATTTGTTTCAAGAGGATTAAAGTTAACATGAGCCACTCCCATCAGTTTATTTTATACAGCTAACCGGGAATAGCCTGTAGTTTACATCTCTAACAGAAGTTACTTGCCATCATTACTCTTAACAACAGTTCTTCATACATAAGGAGACTTTTTATGTTCGAATAGAATACCTCTCGTATCAGGACGTATTCTTACACCCCCATTGAAGGCAGTTGGGTTCAAGGTTGATGTCACATCCTCATCCAGATTGTGATTGTATCGTCGGAGAAACATATCTATCTGAGACTATTTTGTGTCTAGCAGTCTGTCTTTTCGAATTATATTCCAAATGTTAAATCTTCCTCGTTATCGTTTCTACCATATTATTCAGTCTCTTGCAATTTATCTTGTTATATTCATCTGCTTCGATATGTGTACCGGACTATGCTAGTCAGTCAGTCATTCATTCAGTCAGTTACAACCTAGGGTCTGCGGCTCTTCCTCGCCTTAGATTACACATAACCTTTTCAACTTCATTCAAAGTTGGAAGACTTACATCAACTTAACATTCAGGTTGGTTGGAAATTGTGGGCAACATCGAAGTGAGGCTGAAGGCCATTTGAACTAATCCCCAGTGTTCTGCCTATCGATCCGATCTCTGAATGTTTATATTCGAATCCAATCTCCCGGGCTAAGAATGAATACATTGTGCAAGTGATAACTGATGAAATACCTCAACTACTTCTAATGTCGCCTTGGATTTTCTGTTACTTACTTATGCCTGTTACCCCTAATGGAGCATAGGCCACCGAGCAGCGAATTATTTTTCTGGTTATCGTTTTTTTAGCGAGTTGGATTTCTACGGGATGGGATCGCTAACGCCATACCCAACGTTCCTCGTTTATCAGGGCTTGGGACCGGCAAAAACCTTAGAAGGGCTCCAGGTAGAGTTACCTAACCCTCACTTAAGTGGCATACTTTTTTCCACGGCTTTCCTAATAAATATCATTTGTTTTCACACTATGACATTATTCATAATAATGGTAGTTTAACGTAGTAGTGTTTTGTGCGTTCGTTTATCAAGTACACTAGTGAATTACGTAGATAGTAATATCTAACAACAATGTGCTGCTTTCAACATCGAGATAGATCTAATTGTGACGATATTAGCAATTAAAACTCGTCTCAATGCTTTGGTTCCAAACGGCAGTGCTGCCCATTTTGAACAAAATTCATTGATTATTCATAACCCTTTTTTTGTAACCTATCGTTACTTGAGTTGGGTATGGGTAAGAAGTTGCATTGATTTGTACCAGTTTTATGTGAGTATTATCGATTATGTTTTACAGTATTGATTGTGTGTTGTAATTTTCTCTCTTTATTACAACCTAGCTATTTTCTAATGCTTAGTATTCTCGGACACCAATTCACTCGAGTCGTCGTTCTCCCAAAAATCAGAACACGAGTTAAACAAGAAATAGAGATTATATTCCATTAACAAGGTTTGATGGAAGACAGAAGATACAAAGGGAAAAAAAGACGTTAGTATGTTGATAATTTTCTTACATGAGAAGAAGATTGTAGTGTAGAATGTTCCCTCTGTATCAACTAGCGCTGATTGGATGCGAAAGAGCCAATCAGCGTGCAACAATGCAAACCATGCTTTCATCCAATCAATGTTCCACTAACATCACCTCAATGAGTGGTGGAATAGTTAATGAAAAAAAAACAAATCAAATTGAATTTAAGTTCATAATTAATTTTGTGTGATTAATTTCCTATAGAGAATGAATGAATCAATATTGTCTCATGTATATGTTTGTTTTTTTCCATAAAATGTCTATTTCAAGGGAAGTCTTCCATATCATCATGAAGAGTGGATTAAAATTCGTTGTTGTCTTGAAGAATTCTTCTTATTTGCCAATGATATGTCCGATAAATTTGGTCAACTCTATTGTTTTTTGGATAGAAAACTTAATCCAGAATCAGTGGATGAATCGAAACGTGCTTTAGAAGAGCATAGATCAGTACGCTTAAAAGTAAGTGTTTTGATTATTTTGTGTGTGAGTCTTGTCAACATTATTTTAAACAGGTCTCTTGGTGCTAGTAGTTTCATTAGTGATATGCTCTCACCAATCACGTTTTCTGTTCGTTTTACAATTTTGCTTTTGTTTTTCTTCTGAAACATAGATTGTTCAAGCTCCAGTTCCTGCACTTGAAGCAGAAGCTGATCGGCTAACTTCATGGTTACGTTATGGTATTACTGCATCACAATCCAGTGCCAATACATCATCCTCTGTGAATTCCAGTTCTCAGACGTGTTCTATCACTACTGCATCTGGTGGTGGTGGTGGTGCGTCGTTTCTTGCCACCTCATGGGTATCAATGAATCCTGATTTTCAACAGGTATGTATGTAGTAAGAGGAAAACAAAACACTATCATCTTTGAATTTCTTTTTTTCTTAGATATACTATTTCAACTCGTTTTTTAAACTTTTAACAGGGTTTTTTAAGATAACCAAAAAATTTTTTAAAATTTTCACAGCGTTTTTTAAAATTTTTTTGAAAAAATAAAATGAACTACTTTTAATTAAAATCTTCTTTAGCAATCGCTTTTAAACAATAGCGACGTGCGTGTCTTGAATAACCTTGTAAATCATCCCTGGTTAATTGATTTACAGAATTTAGTATTAAATTTATAAAAGATTCGTTGGATCCGCTCGCCAGAGATCTTCTTACAATGGATTTAATTTTCGAAAACGCGAATTCGATTGGGTTCAGCATGTAACTATAGGGAGACAAAAACATAACGTTTACTCCCTGATAATATCACCGCATATCTTCTTATTTGATGGTTTTCCTGTTTTTTTCTTCTCAACTCGCGATTCCTTTTTATATATACAACCTTATAATATTTGTAGCGGCCTGATAGTTTACATCTGTAAGAAATGCCGCATCCTTGACTCTGTATCCATCTTCAATAAATTTTTTTATAAGGCTTTTTCTTTTTTCATTCGAAATCAAGTTGTTTTTTCTATTTATTTCTGACATTCTAAGGATTACAAAAAATTTTAAAAAACGCTTTGGCTATTTTAAAAAACGCTGTAAAAATTTTAAAAAATTTTTTGGTTATTTTAAAAAACCCTGTTAAAAGTTTAAAAAACGAGTTGAAATACTATAATAAACTTGAGACAGACAGATAGACAGATACAACGCAGAACTTCGTACGTAAGTACATCAGATCAGGTTGCCACACCATATCAGTACAGACAGACGCAACTGTCAGTTCAAATCCAATAGTGATAGCAATAATACAAGTATTAGCAGTAGTAATGGGGAAGATTAGGGAGCGAAGATATAATTTGAGAAGTATAATTCAGTAAGAGATTATGAGGAATGCAGAAGGTTAGAATTTCATATAACACAAACAGTGAATGCACTTGCGCCATCGCAAACGATTCTGAGCCATATCGCTCAAAGTATCTAACCATCGGTTACTTTCGTCTAGTGGACACCAACCAGGTAGCCTAAATCTACCAACAGGACTCAGTCCACTTGTCAGTGACTTCATTGATTTCTGCCATGTTTTGGTTTGGCCGCCCCTAACTTTCTTCCAATCTACTCCTACACTGCAAAACATAGCTTGTCGTGGCAGTCGGTGGTTAGGCATTCGTAACACATGTCCCAACCACTGTCAATTGATGAAGTTTCAATACTTCATCTATTGATTTGTCATCCTTACGTAGAACTCGTTTTCTAACGATAGTTATAAACTTCTCGATTGTAGTATTTCTTTATTGCTCTGTGTACAAATGTAATATGATCTTTGATTATTAGAGCGTTAAGGTTTATACAGTAGAAGTCATAGTTGGAGGCAGGATGATATTTTTCGAACGTAATCACAGCATCATAGGTGTATTCATACCTTATTACACCCTTTATTATATTTATATTTACAAGGTAAGGATGACAGATCAGTAGATGAAGTATTGAAATTTGATCATTGGAAGTGGTTTGGACATGTGTTACGAATGCACACAACCATCGACTGCCTCGTCGAGCTATGTTTTGTAGTGTAAGATTAGATTGAAAGAAAGTTCTAGTGGCGGGACAAACCACAACAATGACACAAATCCATGAACTTACTGACAATTGAACTGAGCAATGGTTAGTAGATTTCGACTTGCCTGGTTAGGTTGCGTGAGACCATGATGGTAAACCGATGGTTTTAGAGACCTAGAATGACATGGCTCAAAAATCGTTCGCAATGGCGCCGTGCATTTTATTCTTTGTGTTCTCCGAAATTCTAATCTTCATAATTCCTCATGAGGTTATTTCTTTTTTAGATTACTGCTAATACTTCTACTACCTTTACGACTATGGGTATTCGAACTAACAATTTTATCTCCGAGTACTAGGCAAGGATGGGCAGATATCAATCGATGAAGTGGTGAAGCTTCATCAGTTGAGGTGGTTTGGGACATGTGTTTACGTATGGGTTAACCACCGACTGCCTCGAAGAACTTTTGTTTTGTGGTGTAGGGAGTAGGTTGGAAGAAAGTTAGGGGCGGCCAGACCAAAACATGGCACATAATCATGAAGTCATTGACTAGTGGACTTAGCCATGTCGGTAATTGTCGACTACCTGGTTGGAGTCCGCGAGGATGATAATAATCGATGGTTAGAGAAGCTTGAATGACATGGCTCAAAATCGTTCGCAATGGCGCCGGTGCATTTATTCTTTGTGTTCTCTCAAATCCTAATCTTCTGGATGTCCTCAATAATCTCTACCTTGTCTTTCTAACCTTATGTCACTGGAATCATACTTCTTGAATAATATCTTCTAATCCCTAATCTCTCCACTTATTTCTAATACCTTTTACTACCTCTACTACTATTGGATTTTGAATCGGACAAATTACATCTCTGTGCTAATGTGGTATGGCAACATGAACTGATGTACTTACGTACGAAGTTCTACGTTGCATCTGACTGACTGAAGAGCGGTCACCATAACCACTCAATTAGACTACATAAGTTTCTGCTTGCGGCAAAGTGTTGAACACTATTAGTGTTGAGCCGTAAAATTTGAGGGTTTATCATTGAAAAAATGGACATTTATGACAAACAAATAGTCCATTTTTATTCGGTACAAAGATGAAACACTATCAGGTCTAATAAACGAAAACAACGAGTAGTTACAAGTATGTCAGTCAATTAGCAACAACGTAGAACTTCGTAAGTACGCAGATCAGTTCAACTTTGCACATTATTATAGCACAGAGATGCTATTATTTGTAACCATGAATCGATCAATGTTAGACCACCATTAGAAACCTGGAAGCACTGAAAGACGGCCGTTTCGTCCTGGTATGGGACTCATCAGCAGTGCACATTCACGACTCCTGCACCTCGCAGGATTCGAACCCAGGACCTTCGGTATTGTGCGCGAACGCCCTAACCGTTAGACCACTGAGCCGGTATCTAACGGTGTTAATGATCTAACTTGATGCTATTGTCCATTCAAATCACATAGCGGTAGATAGAGGTAATAGCAGTATTAGCGGTCATCAAAAAGATTATGGATCGAAGATATTATTCAAGAAGTATCATCTAGTGAAATTGTTGAGGACGTTAGATCTCCAGAATTCATTTGATAAATGTCCTAATTTTGGATTTTATGTTTTAGCGCATAAGCTGCTCAGCTAACTTTGAGATTATATTCCCTATCCGGAAATTCCTTGACTGTTGTTATTGGTTGATGCATTTATTATTTTAGTAAGCTATTTTTGTGGCTCTCTCAAGGATGTTTCCTATGATGTATGTATAAATAAACTCGATTTTCTGGATGCTTGTAGAAAAAAAAACTTTTTACGCCATATCAAGACTTCTTGGAATGCTTGGATTAAGAGTAGCCTATCATGTTAATGCATCCATTTGTTTTCGGCCTCGTTTATCGACTAAGATGGAACTCGTAATAGCATTCAAGCATATCGATTGACAAACATAACAGTAATCAACTCAATAAGAGAAAGATAAAAGTGATGAAGAATTCAGAAGACTTTAGTTAGTTAGAAATTATCGAACATACATAGAACCGATGATTGTGGTCAGAAACATTTAACTATCTCTCAGTCTAATCAATCGTTGGTCATATAACAAAGTGAAACAAGTTTCAATTACATCTTCCCTTTAAATCTAGATTTGTAATAGGGCCAGTGATTATGAATCAGTAAAAATGATAAATGATTCATCAAGTACCAAAAATGGTTTTTGGTAAAAAAAAAACTCAAACTTAGGGAAAAAAAGCGAAAAAGTGATAACAGTTGTGTATTTTACAATAATACTCTTCCGGGAGAGAGATGATATGTTTTTGTGTAGAATAAAAGTACAATCTCTCGTCATGTCATATAACCAACACCACCACCACCAGCACATTCCCAATAATAACTAGCAATAGTTAGATAGATAGATAGACATTGGGCCCGTTTAGTAAATAATCCGTTAAATCACTTAATCATACATAATCGAATGTGTTTGTTATATTAGGTCAGGGTTGCTTGGCATTTCATACCAGCACAGAGACACACACACACACAGAGAGAGAGGAGGAGACAGAGGAAAAAATAATTAACAAGATTAGAATTTTTTTTTAAAAAAACGCCTACTTAAATATAAATGTCAACAATAGTTAAGAACAATATAAAAAACATCTCCAAGTTATATGCATTCAATGTGAAATGATATTTGTCATGATTATAACGAATGTGGGGAAAAAAATTGAATCGTTTCGAAAAATACACGAACGCGTAGTAAAACTATGTGAGTCAGCAACAACGTAGAACTTCGTACGTAAGTACATCAGTTCATGTTGCCATACCACATTAGCACAGAGATGTAATTGTCAATTCAAATCCAATAGTAGTAGATGTAGTAAAGGTATTAGAAGTCATCGGAGAGGTTAGGATTAGAAGATATTATTCAAGAAGTATGATTCAGTGAGATAAGGTTAGAAAGACAAAGGTAGAGGTATTGAGGAATCCAGAAGATTAGGATTTGAGAGAATACAAAGAATAAATGCACCGGCGCAGTTGCAAACGGTTTTAAGCCATGTCATTCAAGGTCTCTAACCATCGATTATTATCATCTCGCGGACCCCAACCAGGTGACCGCTGGTCAGCGACTTGAGGTGACGCAGGCGCAGTAATGTAGATTCATTGCCTTTCTTCAGTAGATTCTTAATTTCTAAATTGTTTTATGTAACCTTTCTTTTACTCTACTAATTCATATTTTCTTGAATTGTAACCTTCTTAGATGCTTGATCTATTATAATCTCACTGTGCTAATGTCGACCTGAAATGTCCTACGTTGTGTATCAACGACTGACTGACTGTATTATTGTAACGGGCTGATTCAACCGGTCATTCATTGTACAATGTTCATATATATTACGGGGTTGTGAAGATTGTTAAGTTACACGTTTTTGAAACCATGAATCGACCAATGTTAGACCAACATTAGAAACCTGGAAGCACTGGACGGCCGTTTCGTCCCGGTATGGTCCGAAATCAGCAGTGCGCATCCACGAAGGTCCTGGGTTCGAATCTTGCGGAGTCGTGGATGCGCACTGTTGAGGTGTCCCATACCAGGACGAAACGGCCGTTCAGTGCTTCCAGGTTTCCTCTAATGGTGGTCTAACATTGATCGATTCATGGTTTCAAAAACGTGTAACTTAACAATCTTCACAACCCCGTAATGTAAATTACCTGTGCTCACTAGTGACTAGCTTGGTGAGGAATCCTCTCCGAGTTCTAGTGGGAAGACGTGACCAGTGAAGGTCAACCTGTTCGGGTGTAGGCAGTGTCTACCGAAGACTGTGTATGAGGTTGCGCAACTCCGTGAATTTGATCAAGTTAGACATTAACACCATTGGATACCGCCTCAGTGGTCTAACGGTTAGGGCGCTCGCGCACAGTTCCGCAGGTCCTGGGTTCGAATCCTGTGGGGTGCAGGAGTCGTGGATGCGCATTGCTGAGGAGTCCCATACCGGGACGGAACGGCCGTCCAGTACTTTCAGGTTTCTAATGGTGGTCTAACATTGATCGATTCATGGTTTCAAAAAATGCTCAAATTTAATATAACCCATTGTTTATTTAAATGTCCCCCTAATTGTCGAGAGACGACTTACAAACTTGAAAGTTGGAATTGTTAAAATTGACTATGACTGATAAAAGTTGTTGTTGTTTTACACTCTTTTATGTTGTTAGTTTATTGAATAATAATTATTTTGTTGTTTCGATTTTTTTTGATTAATATCTACAGCTTGTACCTCAAGTTCGGCATACTGTTTCACAACTTTATGAATTTCGTACACGTTTACAACAGAAATGGGAAACTGGCAGGTCACGTTTAGAACAAATTTATCAATTACGTTTATTTGATGAAGATGCTAGAGGCATGTCTAATTGGATAGATCAACAAAGGCATTTATTTCTTACGGAATATTTAGATATTGGTCAAACAGCATCACATGTAAATTTGAATATTTTGATTAATTATGATAATGAATTTCAATAATGATATTATACTACTGGTACTCAGTCAGTTGCAACGTAGAACTTCGTACGTAAGTACATCATCAGTTCATGTTGCCATACCACATCATCACAGAGATGTAATTGTCAATTCAAATCCAATAGTAGAAGAGGTAGTATGGGTATTAGAAGTAATCGGAGAGGTTAGGATTAGATGATATTATTCAAGAAGTATGATTAAATGAGAAAAGTTAAGAAAGTCAAAAGTAGAGGGGTTGAAGAACCCAGAAGATTAGGATTTGAGAGAACACAAAAAATAAATTCACCGGCGCCATTGCGAACGATTTTGAGCCATGTCATTCAAGCTCTCTAACCTGCGATTATTATCATCTCGCGGACTCCAACCAGGTAGTCAACAATTACCGACATGGCTAAGTCCACTCGTCAATGACTTCATGGATTTCTGCCATGTTTTGGTTTGTCCGCCCCTAACTTTCTTCCAACCTATTCCTACACTACAAAACAAAGCTCGACGAGGCAGTCGATGGTTGGGCATACGCAACATATGTCCCAACCACCTCAACTGATGAAGTTTCATTAATCCATCTATTGATCTGCCATTCTTACCTAGCACCTGTGTCCTAATAACAGCGTTGCTCACTCGGTTGTCCCACAATATACGAGCAATGCTTCGAAGACTGGTACTAATTAATATTGGTTGTTTGTTCAGTTTCACGTCTAATATCTAATTATTAAGTGACATTTCTTGATATGTATAATTGGCGTATATATGTATATATGGCTGAAATAGTGATAGGGAGTGAAGTAGTCGAACGTGTAGACCGCTTCACTTATCTTGGGAGTTTCATCAATGCTGATGGTCTGGTGACTGACGAAATCTCACTACGGATACAGCCGACTCGACTTGCTTTTGCCAACTTGCGTCACTTATGGCGTAGTCGAGTTATCTGTGTACCGACAAAAGGACGGGTTTACTGTTTGCTAGTGAGTTCGCTTCGTCCTATTATACAAGTGTGTAGTGTGGCCAATTGAGAGTAAAGGATATTCGTAAGTCACTACTAGTATTCGATCATAGGTATCTTCGAAGCATTGCTTGTATATCCTGTGACCATTGAGTTAGTAATACTGGTGTTAGGAGTCTTGTACTAAGTAAGGATGGCGAATCAATTGATAAAGTAGTGAATCTTCATCAGTTGAGGTGGTTGGGACTTATGTTACGCACACCCAACCACAGACTGCATCGACGAGTGATGTTTTATGGTATAGGAGTAGGTTGGAAGAAAGGTAGTATCGGCCAAACCAAAACATGGCAGAAATCCATGAAGTCTATGACAACTGGACTGATCCATGTTGATCAGACTACTTGGATGAGGTCGCCGGACGATAGTAACTGATGGTTAGAGAGATATTGAATGATTACTGCTCATACTTCTACTACCTTTATTGCCATAGAATTTCAATTAACCATTGCGTCTATATGCTAATTTGGTGGTTATGACAACTTGAACTGATGTACGTAAGTACGTACGTACGTACGTACGAAGTTCTACGTTGTAATTGACCGAGTGACTGACTGACTGATATATTTGTAATTATCCTGACTAATATGATTTATCTACAAGTATATTGTTTTGCTTACAGTCTCAGATGTTTTGGTAAGCAAGTAATATTTACTAATTAATTTCAATTGTTTATCACTTTTTAAGATTAATGTAAAAAATTTTTCTTTCAGCGTATTTATTGATGTATGTAATTTCTTTTACTTGTTATTATAGGCTGCTGATCTACACGCTGAACATCGACAATTTCTTTCTAAATGTAGCAGTGTCCGTGAACAAGTTGCTCGTTTAACTGGAGTTGCTGGCATGTTAGCTGATACTGGTCATTTTGCTAGTCAACAAATTTTAAAACAGGTGTGTATCTTTTCTTTTTTCATTGGTGTTTATGTTCTTCCTTTAAACTCAGAAGCATTGCCTGCCCCCAAGGTCACATTAGTTTACATGCATACATACATGTACTCCAGTTTTTTTGAACAATGAATTTATTGATCATTAGTAAGTCGTCATCATCATCATCAGCTACAATGCAGAACTTCGTACATACGTGAATACATACATCAGTTCAAGTCACTATACAACATCACCACACACACAGATAGATCGAATTGTCAGATCAAATCGCATAGTGGTAGATGTAGTAGAATTAATCAGCTGTAGTGGAGAAGATTATGATTTGTGAAGATATGATTCAAGGCGTATAATTCATTGAAATGAACTTAACAAGAGAAAGATTAAAAGTGATGAGGAATTCAGAAGACAAGCATTATTTGATAGAATACAAAGAACGGATGCTTCTACACTGTTGAGCCATATCATTCAAAGTCTCTAACCATTGGTTACTATCATTTCGTCAATCCTATCCAAGTAGTCATCTACACCTACTGACGTGACTCAGTCCACTTGTCAGTGACTTCATGGATTTGAGTACATGAAATGTTATTATTCACTAGTAAAGTGCACACATACACATGCACGCACGCACACACATATTCTACTACTACTACAACTACAACAACTACTACTAATCACAATCTTTGTACATTTTTCCACTTTTTTTCATTTTACATTTCACAATTAGGCACTTTTTAATTATAGACTACTACTAATTGATTGGATGATACAACAATTAAATGTAAGATGAAATGAATTAAATCAAATCAAATCAATTAAAGTTATTAAACAAAAAAAAATTCATTTTTGTGTGTGTGTGTGTGTGTATATTTCAATTTGTAAATTTTATGTTATGAATCGCTTTGTTAATAATTTTTCTAATCTTAAAAAAAAACAAAAAACCGGAAAAAAAAATAATGTAGAGTTGGCAAAAGTTAGTGGTCTAACAATGATTGATTGATGATTTCAAATGTGTAAAAAAAAAAATCGCAAACCTCCAAAACTGTGCCCCAAAATATCGTAACAGTGCTCACTAGTGACTAGCTTCGTGAGGAAATTCTCGGAGTTCTAGTTGAGAAGACGTGACCAATGGAGTTCAACCCTGTCGGATGTAGGCAGCACTGACTACCAAAGACAATGCTGGGTGAGGTCGCGCAAAATCCCTAGATCAATCAGAGCTAGATATTAACACCGTTGGATGCCGGCCCAGTGGTCCGATGGTAAGGCGTTCGCCTACAATGCCAAAGGTCCCGGGTTCGAATCATGTGAAGTGCAGGAGTCGTGGATGCGCACTGCTGATGAGTAGTCCCATATCAGGACGAAACGGCCGTCCAGTGCTTCCAGGTTTCTAATGGTAGTCTAACAATGATTGATTGATGATTTCAAATGTGTAAAAAAAAGTTGATCATTCGGTAGGTTATGTACAATGCTTAGGTGGTAGGTAGTATTATTATTATTATGATTATTGTGGTTATTATTAATTAGTTTGAGAATGAATTGAATTAAAAGAGTTTACAAGAATAGAATTGATTTATTCATGTAAGTGATCCATTTTTCTTCACTATCTATGAGATTTTTAAACCTTTGATTCAGCTTGGGTACTACTATGTTTTTCCAGTTAATACACATGGTCACAGGTTTTTTACTGTTTCAAACTATCAAGAGTATTGACAACTTTGATCCAACAAGCATTTGATTGACATTCAGACTTGGTTAAGCTTATAAAGATTATGAAGTCACTGTTGACACGGTTGACTGATGACCAAACATTTGGAAATATATATGGAGTGCAGTTGCAGGAGTCGTGGATGTGCACTGTTACACTGATGAGTAGTTAGTCTCATACCATGATGATACGGTCGTCTTTCAGTGCTTCCAGGTTTCTGATGGTAGTGGTGGTGTTGGTGGTGGTCTAAAACATTGGCTCGATTCATGATTTCAAATATGGAATAGTCTGCTTTCCATAGCTTCTTTACATTGACACATGATGAATCGGTGGTGGGGGAGGTGGAATCAGTCAACTCTAGTTCAGTAGATTTTCTTCTCATAGACACATTTATAATATATGTTTTTCATGATATGTCTGTCATTCAATGATTAGAAATTCTATCACATTTAAAAACAATCAAATTACAGTTTCATTTGTATATCAATGTAAGTAGTATCTTGTAAGTAGTGATTTTATTTATTTATTTATTTCTATCTTGTAAATCAACCACCATCCATTTTGTGCCTTAGAAGCATTGCTCGTATATTGTGGGACAACCGAGTAGTAAGCAATGCTGTCGTTAGGAAACGAGTACTAGATAAGGATGGCAGATAAATAGATGAAGTGGTGAAACTTCATCAGTTGAAGTGGTTGGGACATGTGTTATGAATGCCTTACCACCGACTGCCTCGACGAGCGATGTTTTGTAGTGTAGGAGTAGGTTGGAAGAAGGCTAGAGGCGGCCAAACCAAAACATGGCAGAAATCCATGAAGTCACTGACAAGTGGACTGCATCATGATGGTAGATGTCGACTACCTGGTTGGGGTCCGCGAGACGAAAGTCATCAATGGTTAGAGACCTTGAATGACATGACTCAGAATCGTTTGCAATGGCGCAAGTGCATCCATTCGTTGAGCTCTCGCAAATCCTAATCTTCTGGATTCATCGACACCTCTACCTTTGTCTTTCTAACCTTATCTCACTGAATTATACTTCTTGAATATTATCTATCTGCAAATCCTAGTCTTCTTTATTACCGTTAATACCTCTACTATCTTTATCACTATGGGATTCGATTTGACATTTGCGTCTCTGTGCTAATGTGGTGGTATGGCAACCTGAACTTATGTACATACGTACGAAGTTCTACGTTGAAACTGTGATGCGAGCTACTTATAAGTAGTATATGACGTGAGTGTCAACGTAATGTCTAGCAGCAGAAGATGGGGGAAGATCAAGAAAGGAAGAGTTAGAAAACAATGGAATCTGTATGAAAAGCATGAATAGTGACAATGGATTGATGTTGTTTGCAACAGGAACAGTCCAGTTCGATATGATGAACTGATATTTTGCAAATGAACAATTTACGATATGGTTTTCCGATTTTACTGAGTAACTCTATAATTTTCGTTAAATACAATTTCGGTTGCCCTCACCTGTGTTCTCGTTTATTACACAACTAACTGACTGACTAAACCATCCATTTTGAGTTTTGTTCTGTTCATTCTAGAGGTGTTTAACTTTATCATATTGTACACATATTGTGTAATAAAATTGAGAAAGAAAGTTTCAAAAATTACATTCCATCTTAATATGTTGTTAATATTATGATTATTTTTTTTCTTATTGTAAACAATTGAACTGACAAAATTGTCTGACGATCGAACACAACGCGGCGGCGGCGGCTTAAAAGGATATTCATAACCAGTTTGTTTTATTTTTTAATTTAACTTGAATTTCTAACCCTTATTCAATTTATAGTAATAATAATAATTATTATGAGTAAATCATTTACAAATATTTTTTTCATACTACACTATCACATCACACCACACACCGCACACACACACACATGGACAGGCTAATCAATTAGAACATGAATGGAAATCATTTACTGCAGCGCTGGAAGATCGTTCACGTGTTCTACAATTATCTGCTAGTTTTCATGCTAGAGCTGAATCATTTCTGGCAAATTGTCCACATTGGGAAAATGCAATGCGTCAAGTGAATGGTACATCAGTGCATGAATTAAATCAAGCATTGATTACATTACAAGTAAGTTTTGATTATTATTATTTGTTAAAGTGTGTGCAATAGGCTGAGGGAAGTTTAATCAGTATTGATTGGTAGTTTGACTCTTCTTATTGATAGTTAGGGGATTACAGCTGATTTGGTCCCGTTGCACAAGCTAGTGGTTGTCTGAACTCAGTAGCTAAGTGGATAACGCAATAACGTTTGAAGCGAACGGTACTGGGTTCGAGTGTCGGAGTGGACGTCCACCTAGGTATTGTAGGTACATCCAGTTGACGTGCTCGCATTCAAGCTACGTCGGTCAGTCAGGAGGTGTAAAAAGGATTTGACTGTGACCGATTTTATCTCATGTGTTGTTACGGGTATGAGGGAGGATGTCACTTGCCGGCTACCCACACCGTGGAAGGGTGTTTCTTGAAGGACATGAAAAGGAAGATAGATTAGTGTTGGTCTTAGAAACCTGGTTGTGTGACCGCAGAGCTCAAGGGACAACTGTTTGAGGCCGATCACGCAGGGCCTTTTTAGGAGAGGTTTTTAGTGTTAGCTCCGCTCTTACTTAAAAGGCCTTATCGTCGGAGACGGAAATTCGTGCGGTAAGGTGGGGTGTGACATTTTTATGGTTGATCTTTTGTGACTCCTTTCTTCTGCTGTGAGAAGGCTGCGTCGCTGTAGGTGCTGGGTGTCCGAGGGAAACACCTTATTATTGCTGTCACACTCCTCTCCAGTCAACAGTACGATTTCGCCTTCAGACCTTGAGTAGCTGCTTTTAATCTCATCGTTCTTCAGTCGACCTGCCTGACATGGTAGAATCTACAGGAACATATGTTCCGGTCAATGTAGCTTGATTGGGTCATCGTGATAGGCAAGCCCGATCACCACAACAAGGTAGCAACTGCAGTCGGGATCGAAACTATGCATGCAAATGAACTAATTCCGTTTAGTTCGCTAAAATTTCATACACTGTGATTGTATAAGTCAAGATAGATAGATTAAACATATATTCGGTCATTTAGTTGTATTATATATTATCTTCCGTAAATCATCACCTGTTGTCAGCATCATATGTAATAGTGTGTGTGTGTGTGTGTGTGTGTAAACTAGGCAAATTAAAATTTTTTTTACTGATACTCAGTGAATTTTTTGAAATCATATTTTATTGCTTTGAATTCTTGTCAAGAGACTGAATTTGTCCTTCTAACTGCTCTGTTCTGTCTGTTGTTAAAAATACATACATACTCTTACCTTAAATGATCATTGAAAATTAGCACAGCGTAGGTGTATATTTTTTTTCATATTGTAAAATTCAGCGTTGATTAAATAGTCGCGTTGCAATAAATCGACCTTGATGAATTAGTGTTCCCAGTTAGTTTTTAGTGGGTGTGAGCTACCGATTCGTTTGTTTATGAACAACGTTCTTGTTATGCTGTGATATAAATCCTCTTTTTCGGTTTGCACAGATCATCATACTTGGTTGAACCCCGTTTGTGAATTCGGTTGGATGAGTTTATTCATGCAAACAGACTTGGTAATAATACTAAGTGTTAAAGCAAAGCAAAGCAAAGCGAAGTGCTGAAACCGAGTGAGCCAACTCCATACGATAAGTGAAGTAAGCATGCACGCACACACACGCACGCATTCAAGCAATAACAACCAAGATAAGAGCGAATGGTTGACTAGGTCAAAAGATGAATGCATAGTGTAATTCAGATAGAATGGGTTAGTTAATTTATTCGACAGCTTAGGAAAAATTCTGTAGGCTCCTAACTTTAGTAAACGTAAATATTGTCCTCTTTTTTCTCTTTTGAAAAAAACAAACAAACCTATGACAGGAATTTTGGCAAGAAGCACAATCTGCTCATGAAGAAGTTTGTGCTGATGGTCGTGCATTGGCTAATCATTTAAGTTCACCTGTCCCTACAGGATCGCATACATCTTTAACAGCTGCTGTCGACTATTCACAAGGTCGAAAACATTGTACAGATCTTGTTCATGAGGTGAGTGAGTTTTATATTTATATATAGATTTTTGTACTCGATTCATAACTATAGCACTGCTTAGGAAATACGAGCAATGCTTCTAAGACATCTGTGGTCGAATACTAGTAACCTACGAATATCTACTCTTACCGACTATGCTTCGCATCCATATGGGAGAACGGAGCCAACTGTTGCTCAGTACACTCGACCTTCGATTAGCAAACGGATATCTCGCCTACGCCATAAGTGACGCAGGTTGGCAAAAGCCAATCGAGCTTTCTGTATCCGCGCTGAGATTTCGTCAGTCACCAGGCTATCAGCGCTGATGAGACTCCCCAGATAAGTGAAGCGATCAACACGCTCGACTACTTCTTTCCCTATCACTAGTTCAGGTGCCGATGCAATCCAGTCTTGAAGCAACATTTTGCACTTCAACGGGGAAAACCGCATCCCGAACATGCTTGCATTGTTGCTTATGGTAGTCAGAAGACTCTGCATTTTGTCAGCGTCTTCACCAAGTAGGACTATGTCATCGGCATATTCTAAGTCAATAAGCGAGCCACCTGGTAAGAGGTCTACTGAAATGCCGCTTTTAGGTATTGTTTTGCAGACAACTTCTGTTTTCTAATTTAAATGTCAATGCATTGAGGTCATTTGTGTTACCGCTATCATGTTCCATTAAGTTGGCTCATGTGTTCCAAGTTTGTGCGGTAGATTGGTTGTCTTGACTATCAATGTCACATACTTCAATGTTGTTTCCTATTCGACTTAACTGTATAAATATGCATTATCTGTAACGTTTTATGACCCGGATCCTTAGTCCGGGATCCTTATTCTCTTCTGGACTCGGACCTCGTACTTTCTGGATGCTTGTAGAATACACGTTCTACTACGTATCAAGTCTTCTACTTTTACTCAATGGGGATTTGGGATAGTGGGATTAGAGTAGCCTGTGGTGACGCCGGTTCCTCGATCCTTGCTCTCGTTTACCGACTAAAGGTAAACACACGTAATAGTTCAAGCATATCAAATGACTTGTTGACGTGTATAGGTAACACCATTTTTTTTTACATACATCACATCACTTAAATCGATTTTCATGGTACTACTGATGATCTAAATGTGCTATTTTGCCATAAAACAGTTATCTACTCTTTTACTGTTTTTCTCGTTATCTGTATAGAGTAGAATTTCGTATATATTATTCTGTTAATATTATTCTTCTTGGTAAAGATTTTGTTTTAAACTAAATACTTTTTTTTACTAGTAGTACCTCAGGTGAACCATTTTTTCTTAAAATAGAAAAAATTACTTTGCGTTTTTACATAACCTGATCGATAGTGTAATGTTTTTGATAAACAATGATGATTTCAGTTAAGCCAAGTGTATTTTCGACCAGTTTATTCAGTCAATCAGTCAGTCAGTCAGTTTGTTGCAACGTGGAACTTGGTACGTACGTGCATCAGTTCCAGTCGCTATAGCATATTAACACAGAAAGATGAAATTATCGAACTAAATCCCAGTGTAGTGGAGATACTGATCGAAGGTTAATATTCAAGTGGGTAGGAAGGATTTGATTGTGACCGATTCAGTGTTGTGTGTTTTTCTACGGGTATGATGGCGGATGTTACTTCCCGGTTGCCCACGCTGTGGAACCTGAAAAGGAAGTTGGGTTAGTGTTGGCCTGAGCAACATGGGATCGTTACTTCAGCAGAGCTCAAGGGACAACTGTTTGAGGCCCATTACGCACGTCTTTTTTATAGGAAGTTTTTGAAGTGTTAGCGCCGCTGTTGAAGTAGCCTTACCGCTAGAGACGGAGATCTGTGGGGTAATATGAGGTGTGATAGTTTTAGGGTTGACCTTTTCTAACTACTCTTTTCCATTGTGAAAAGACTGCATCACTGAAGATGCTTGTTGTCCGGCGGAAACAGCCTACTGTTCCTGTCACACCCCTCTACAGTTGGTAGTAGGATTTAGTCCTCAGACCTTGAGTAGCTGCTTTTAGTCTCATCGTTCTCCAATCGACCTGCCTGACATGGTAGAACCTACACGAACATATATTCCACTCAATATAGCTCTATTGGTTCATCACGATAGGCAAGCCCGAACACCTCGTCAAGCTAGCAGCTACATTCGGGTAATAATCTCAAGACCTATTTTTATTTCACTGGTTTATATTTTCTTAAATCTTACTCCTCCTGTAGTGAAAATAGAAAAAAAGGTCACGAGATATTACAAAATCTACAATTTTGGCAGGGGAAGACAACGAATGGATACACCTACGTTATTGAGAACAATTTTGAACCGTTCCATTCAAAGTCTCTAACCACTAGTTACAATTGTCACACCAAACCTCAAACAGATAGTCCATCGCTATTAACATAGCTCTGTCCCATTGGTCGATGACTTCATGGATTGGTGCCATGTTTTGGTTCAATCGCCTTTAAATGCCAACTTACTCATACATATAAGCCAGACTATTTTGATGTAAATAAGTTCCCTTTTTTTTCGTTAATGATCAAATTATATGTTATGTGTGTTCTTTTTTCTAATTATTATTCTCAATCAATGTGTAACATAGATTTGGGCATGGTTTAAACAATTAGAACGTGTTTTTGGTGAACGTCGTCGTCGTTTAACAGCTCGTTTAGCTCTGTTAATGTTTAAAGAAGATGTTGGTCAAGTATTGGCTTGGTTAACTGAACATGGTGAACCATTTTTACAACGTCAAACAACAGTAGGCAAGTCTATACAACGTGCAGAACAATTATACAGTGCACATATGCAATTTGAACAAGTGAGAATGAAGGGTTTTTTTTCTGTTTATCATTGTGTTCTATCTGGTGTTTGTATGTATGTATAGATTGACCCCTTAGAAAAGTTTTCACTGATTTACTTTTTTTGCGAAAAAACTTTTTTTTTGGGTTATTGATAAATCTTACTCATCATGATGGTACTGATTGAGTTATTTGATGTAGGTTTTCGAATGAACTGACATTCAAATGGTAAATATCAATCATTTGAGATTAGTTTACTTACTTACTTACTTACTTAACGCCTGTTACCCCCAATCGGGGAGTATAGGCCGCCACCGACCAGTATTCTCCAACCGACATTGTCCTCCGCCTTCCTTTTCCAGTTCTGTCCAATTGTGGTGGTGTTTCGTTCTCTGAACTGGATATTTTGGATGTGAAACTTTCATTGTTCTTCTTCTGAACAACTTCATCAACACAAACTTCAAATTGAAGTGAAGTATTCGAATTTCTTCACGTTTGACCTGTAGCTTGTTCTGCTAACCTCGATCTTCATTGGTTCAAGGTCAACAGCAACCGAATTTGAATACTTCACTTCTGCTATCTGAAGTTTGTGCTGATGATGTTGTTCAGAAGAAGAACAATGAAAGCTTCACATCTAAAATATCCAGCTCAGAGAACGAAACACCACTACAATCATCCACCTGAGCTACAAATTTTCTCCATCATCTGAAATTTCTGTCCAATTGTTGTTTATTATTCTTATGTCTTTCTCCGATTCTCAGCGTAATGTGAATCTCATTTCAGAGATATAAACGTGATGATTGGGAAAGAGGACGTAGTTGGTTGGTCAGAACTACTTGCAAGACAATTAGAATTTTTCACTTGACTCTCTTGTTATTATTATTATTATCATGATTGTTGTATTATTCTTGTCAGTTGCAGCGTAGAACTAAATGATTGTGAGAAGAGTTAGTCGTGGAGATAAGAGAGGTATTAGGGAATGTAGGAAGGATTTGATTTCGAACAATTTTGTCTCGTGTGCTGTTGCGGGTATGAGGGCGGTTATCACTTCCCGGCTGCCCACACCGTGGAAGGTTGTTTCTTGACGAACCTGAAAAGGAAGATGGATTAGTGTTGGTGCGTGACCGCAGAGTCCAAGGGACAACTGCTTGAGGCTGGTCACGCACGGCCTTTTTATGAAACGTTCTTTGAGGATTAGCTCCGTTCTTAAAGGCCCTTAGTGGGCACCCTTACCCAAGGAGACGGAAATCCGTGAGTTAGGGGAGGTGTGACATTTTTAGGGCCGACCTTTTCTAACCCTTCCTTCCTTGTGAGAAGGCAGCATCGCTGCAGATGCTGGTTGTCCGAGGGAAACACCGACCACCACGTCAAGGTAGCAGCTACGGTCGGGATTGTTGTATTATGCTTGTCAGTTATATTTGACTCACTATATGATAGAATCTATCAGTGGTAAGCTTATACATATATTTATGGCTTACGTGTTCGGTATTTGTGTTGTCAATTTTTCTTTGAAAAGAGAGCCAGAACATCAGTGCAAGTCGCCATACCATAATAACACAGAGATACAATTGTCAATTCAAATCTCACAGAGGAGAAGTATTAGCGGTAATGGGGAAGACTAGGGTCCGAAGATATTATTCAACAAGTATTATAATTCAGTGAGATAAATTTAGGAAGAGAACAACGAGAGAAGTGATGAAGAATTCTGAAGATTAGAATTTGAGAGAAGACAAAGAAATGGATGCACCCGCACCGTTGCATTCGATTTTGAGCCATGTCAGTCAAAGTCTTTAAGTAGCGGATATTATCATCTCGTGGACCTCAACCAAGGCAGTCAACACCTACCAACATGGCTGAGTCCACTTGTTAGTGACTTCATGGATTTCTACCATGTTTTGGTTTGGCCGCCACTAGATTTCTTCAGACCTATTCCTGCATCGCAAAACGTAGCTCGTCGATGCAGTCGATCGATGGTTAGGCGTACGTATAACATTTCCCAACCACCTCACTTCTTCATCGATTGATTTGCCATCCCTATCTAGTATTTGTTTCCTGACTATAGCTTTACTTACTCTGTGCTCCCAGGATAAACGAACAATGCTTCAAAGACACCTATGATCGAATAGCAGTAGCCTAGGAATATCCTCCACTCTTACTGGTCATGTTTCACAGCCATAAAGTAGGACGGAGCGAATTAATGAACCGTAGACTTGTCTCATTCATCTATTTATCCAATTAGTGTTTTCTTAGTACTGCTGCTACCGATTATGAAAGGAAGCACTGAAAGACGCCCGTTTCGTCCTGGTATGGGACTCATCACTAGCAGTGCGCATCCACGACTCCTGCACCCCACAGGATTCGAACCCAGGACCTTCGGTATTGTGCGCGAACGCCCTAACCATCGGACCACTGAGCCGGTATCTAACGGTGTTAATGTCTAACTTGATCAAATTCACGGAGTTGCGCAACCTCATACACAGTCTTCGGTAGACATTGCCTACACCCGAACAGGTTGAACTTCACTGGTCACTTCTTCCCACTAGAACTCGGAGATTCCTCATTTACTAATCACAATGATCTATTGATTACTGATTTATTAATACAAAGTTACTATGATGGTCTATGCTTTTGTTGTTTTGAATTTCTTCATCGTAATCCATTGATACACGGGTCAACACACTATCTATCTCACATCGAAAAAGAAATCAAAATTTCACTACCATCGTTTCAGAATTATTCAAATTCAAAAAAACAGTGTGATGAAATGTATCATGTTTTTTATAATGTCTGCGCTGCAGCGATCTGAATGTGATCGGTGTTCTCTCTATGTGAAGACGATTGTAGAATAGGGAAGTGTATTGGTTACAGAATCAATATGAATAGTTACCTCGTCTGCATATATGTGTATTCATCTGTTAACCCGTGATATTTTGCTGATTGCTTACGCCCCTTTGTAGTGAACGAGAACACAGGTGGGGCAACTGAATTATATTTAACGAAAATTACAGAGTTACTCAGTAAAATAGGAAAACCATATCGTAAATCGTTAATTTGCAAAATAGCAGTCCATCATCATATCGAAGTGGACTGTTCCTGTTGCAAACAACATCAATCCATTGTCTTTACTATTCATGCGTTTCATACAAATTCCATTGTGTTCCCACTCTTCCTTTCTTGATCTTCCCCCATCTTCTGCTGCCAGACATTAAGTTGACACTCACGTCATATACTACTTATATGTAGCTCACATCACACCGTTACCCCTAATGCAGCATAGGCCACCGATCAGCGAATGATTTTCCGGGTTAGCAGTTTTTGTTTAACGAGTTGGATTTTTGCCCAACCCTCCTGTTTTATCCAAGGGATTGGGACCGGTAGGAAGGGTTTCAGGCGGACTTTCTCATTAGTTGTTAGCTGGTCACTATTTTCTGATTAGCTCATAGTATCTCATCAATATTAATGAATCTTTTCAATGAATTGTAAAAGAATAAACAAGGAGTCAAGAATTCGTTTATCATTATTTATCATTTTTCTTTGTCAGTTCATTGTTTTTTTTGTTCTGTTTAAAAAAATCTTTAAATCTTTTAGGTTGCTGCTAATACATTAACTAATGCAGAGAAATTAATATCAGCTGCTGATGAATTAGCCGCTCAAGCTGATGATCCAGAAGAAATATTACAAGTTAGTTTGTCAGTTAGTTAGTTATGATTATGATTGTTATTATTTTTATATGAAAATTTCATTAGAATCCTTTGGTAATATCATTCGTTTTTGTGTTAACCAAACGAATCATAAATTAGAATATGTGTAAAAGCAGGTCATTTCAAGTCAACACTGATATTTTATCTTGAATCATTGTTAGACCGCCATTAGAAACCTGGAAGCACTGAAATTTGGCAGTTTCGTCCGGGTATGGGACTCATCAGTGGTAGTGCTCACCTACGACTCGTGCTACTTGCAGGAATCGAACCCAGGACCTTCGATCTTGTGCGTGCAAATATTTTACCTATGTACCAATAGGGCCGGCATCTAACAATTGTAATGTATATTTTTGGAGATTTATCGTTGTTGAAGAGCAGAGATAGAGTTTTTTTTTAGCTAAGCTCGGCTCTATTGAGGTGAATAAGGGTGTTACGTGGAAGGATATCATCATTTCATCGTTGTCGATTTGAATCCCCTTGAGTTTATTGAAGAACTGTATGGGAGACTTAATGGAGTAGTTGGATGTGTCCAGCAGACTTTTTGATATCTTTGAAATTTCTCTCGATAAGTTGTAGGTCGGGGCTCCGTTGAGGGATACAGTTGGGCCTAGTGGAATGATGGGTTTGTGGAGTTTTGGTCTAGCGTAGAATTGTGGAATTACTGGATTTCATTCTCTATTGATCTTGTTTTGATATTTGTCCTGCTTTGACAAGCCTGTTTATAGTCCTTAAGATTTTCTCGCTTGGTTTATTTATGCTTTTGTCTTCAAGTAGTTCCTCAGCTTTCTTGATATATTCTTCCTTGTCCATACTTACTGTCATGTGTCCTTTTGTCGGCTGGAACTATGATCATATCTTCCGTGGTTCTGAGTTTCTTTAAGGCTTTTCGTTGTTGTGCTGTTAGTTGGTTGTTATCTGTCTTTCGTCGAATTAGTGGTACTCTAGCTTGTCTCGTTTTTTGTTGAGTTTCTTCACTTATTCCGGCCGTTTTTTTAGTGATGACTCTAGTGCGTCGAAGAATTCGAGTTTCGAAACGTCCTTCGTGTTACAATTTCATCCTTTTTGGAGCAGTTGTTCTTCTGTTGTCATTAGGTGTTGTTTCGAAATGTTGACCACACAATTGGTTGTGTTTTCTTCTGTGAGTGGCTTTGAAATCTTGATTAGTTTATCTTTCAGAATGTTTCTTCTTTGTTATCGGTGTCGTCTGCTTGACATCTCGATCGCCGTTGTCAGTGTTTTTAAGTGTTCCAATGTGAGCATTCTCTCCAGTTTTCCTTTTTGTTCCTCTATGTTGCGTTAATATTTGTGGATCCTGTAGTGTGCATCGGTGATCATTAATTGTACCATATGTGTTCCACTTTGTTCCCC